GAGAGAGAGAGAGAGAGAATAATAGAAGGAAAAAAGGGAGAATCTGCTTCCAAGAAACTCATTTATTTTTTACGAAATTTGACGCAGGCAAATTCTTTCCATAAATCACTAGGGGCAGGAGACCCAAAGGGCCCTTCAGCCCGGGCTTGTATTTTTAGCGGTACAGTACGTGCTGGTGTGCCATGGTGGGGGCGTGGGTGCTCCTGGGTGCTCCTGGGGGCATGGGTGCACCTGGGTGCTCCTGGGGGCGTGGGTGCACCTGGGTGCTCCTTGGGGCGTGGGTGCACCTGGGTGCTCCTGGGGGCGTGGGTGCTCCTGGGTGCTCCTGGGGGCGTGGGTGCACCTGGGGGTGTGGGTGCTCCTGGGTGCTCCTGGGGGCGTGGGTGCTCCTGGGGGCGTGGGTGCACCTGGGGGCGTGGCAATTCCCTGGGCGTAGAGATTTTCCCTACCAGTAGTTGGCTTCGGGAATCAATGTCCCTGCGGGCGTGTCTCAGACCAGGCCTCCTAGTTGGTGGTCTGATCAACCAGGCTGTTAGACGCTGCTGTTCGCAGTATGAATCACAGCGTTTTATATGTGATTTCCGTCTTTATATTTTAGCGCAGGAGCCGAAACTTGCCTTCGTTAAACATTTCGTTTTCTGTGGCCACTTTGAAGACCAGGGGCCAGATTCACGAAAGAACTTACGCAAGCACTTACGGACCTGTACATCTTTTCTCAATCTTTGGCGGCTTTGTTTCCAATTATTAAACAGCTAATGAGCTCCGAAGCACTAGAAAGCTGTTTATAACAATAACAACAGTTGAATGGGAAGTTTTCATGCTTGTAAACTGTTTAATAAATGTAACCAAAGCCGTCAAAGATTGAGGAAAGATGTACACGTTCGTAAGTGCTTGCGTAAGTTCTTTCGTGAATCTGGCGTCAGATTCACATCAAGTTTAGAGGGTTGCTACGGCATGCCGTTGAACATGCGAGATGCACACATGTGGTGTTGGATCTCTTGGCGCCAGCTGCACGTGGTATCTTGTGTAATACTGCCACGTGGGGCATAACAGGCGAAAAACACAATGGAGCCGTCGTGCGTAGTGCGTGAGAATCAGGCGGGAGAGACGTCACTACGAGATAACCAGCGGTGCGAGTGTGAGAGCACAGGTGTGTGCATGGAGGCCACCTCACAACACACCTCCATGCACGCAGGCTGAAACAGATGCTTCGCACGATGCGCAGAATAGTGGCGACATATCTACCACAGTCTACGCTGGAAGTGCGGCGCATATCTATCACAGTCTACGCTGGAAGTGCGGCGCATATCTATCACAGTCTACGCTGGAAGTGCGGCGCATATCTATCACAGTCTACGCTGGAAGTGCGGCGCATATCTACCACAGTCTACACTGGAAGTGCGGCGCATATCTACCACAGTCTACGCTCGAAGTGCGGCGCATATCTACCACAGTCTACGCTCGAAGTGCGGCGCATATCTACCACAGTCTACGCTGGAAGTGCGCACTGAAAAACGTGGCGCCAACATTCCTTCCGCGATGCAGAGTTCAATGGTAACCATTCCTCTTAAATTGGTACACTGATACCCAGTTTTTTTTTGCTTCTGAAGTGGTCACGTGGTTTCTCTCCTAGTTTGAGTCACTCACATGAAGGGTTAAGTCCTATAACGTCATGATCGCAGTTCCAAGATGATAGCTTGATAATCTTGAATATAGGCGCATATATGGCGTACCTAAGTATAACCTGACTGTTTATGTTTGGGTGTGTTTTATAATTTATATCTAGTGCTTCGGCTATATGTTATCTCTGTCACCTGTGCCACTATCATTTTAGTGTTAGTCGGGATATCTCTGGTGACGGTCTAGTTGTTTGTAACAATTATATGATCTTCGTTAATTGTTGATTATGTATTGTCATAGCTCCTAGAACCTAAGATCATCTGAGACCTAACAGCCTAGCCACTTTACGTACAGTATTGTTAAACACTTGCCCCCCAGCTGTCAACACATGCCCACTCCACCACCCCCCTGGACCCAGCTGTCAACACATGCCCACTCCACCACCCCCTGGACCCAGCTGTCAACACATGCCCACTCCACCACCCCCCTGGATCCAGCTGTCAACACATGCCCACTCCACCACCCCCTGGACCCAGCTGTCAACACATGCCCACTCCACCACCCCCCCTGGACCCAGCTGTCAACACATGCTCACTCCACCACCCCCACCTGGACCCAGCTGTCAACACATGCCCACTCCACCACCCCCACCTGGACCCAGCTGTCAACACATGCCCACTCCACCACCCCCTGGACCCAGCTGTCAACACATGCCCACTCCACCCCCCCCTGGACCCAGCTGTCAACACATGCCCACTCCACCACCCCCTGGACCCAGCTGTCAACACATGCCCACTCCACCACCCCCCTGGATCCAGCTGTCAACACATGCCCACTCCACCACCCCGTGGACCCAGCTGTCAACACATGCCCACTCCACCACCCCCCTGGACCCAGCTGTCAACACATGCCCACTCCACCCCCCCTGGACCCAGCTATCAACACATGCCCACTCCACCACCCCCTGGACCCAGCTGTCAACACATGCCCACTCCACCACCGCCCCCCTGGACCCAGCTGTCAACACATGCCCACTCCACCACCCCCCTGGATCCAGCTGTCAACACATGCCCACTCCACCACCCCTGGACCCAGCTGTCAACACATGCCCACTCCACCACCCCCCTGGACCCAGCTGTCAACATACTGCCCACTCCACCACCCCCTGGACCCAGCTATCAACACATGCCCACTCCACCACCCCCTGGACCCAGCTATCAACACATGCCCACTCCACCTCCCCCTGGACCCAGCTATCAACACATGCCCACTCCACCACCCCCTGGACCCAGCTATCAACACATGCCCACTCCACCCCCAAACCCCCCCACACCCCCATCCCTCCAGCTCATGCTCTCAGGCCAATATCCAGTCCACCTGTTGGCTCCACTTCCGTCAGATTAGCATCGAATATTTATGAGAAAGTAAATTGTACCTGGGGATGGCAGAACATGTCAACCATGGCATGTTAGCGTGTGTGTGTAGGAGGAGGCAAGAGGGTGTTGACACAATCACTGAGAGGGCCTCCATAGAGCCGTGTGGCGTCCCCCCCCCTGCACCCGGGCAATGTTTGCAAGTCTAACACAACCGTCGCCAACACCGCCCCCGGCCACGGCCAAACACAATACTCGCGCCAGGACCTTCAACGTGGCTATCTGCCGCGCTATTGGCTATTTTCTGGGCGCGCGCCTCCACCCAGAATATTTAGGACTTCGGTCTTATTCCTAAGTCCGCGCGGCTATTTGGCTTCCTCTTACCGTATTTTCACTACATGTTGGAGAGAGAGAGAGGGGGTGGGGAGGAGGGGGGGGGGAAGGTGAAGCAGGCCTTTAAACAGATTGTGTAGAATAGATACACACACACAAACACACATATATATTTAGGAATCTCCCTGTGCCCACACTTGACAAATTCTCGTTGTAGTCGTAAGAAAATATACATTCTATAGTCTGACGCGACGGTGTGTGTGTGTGTGTGTGTGTGTGTGTGTGTGTGTGTGTGTGTGTGTGTGTGTGTGTGTGTGTGTGTGTGTGTGTGTGTGTGTACTCACCTAGTTGTACTCACCTAGTTGTGTCTGCAGGATCGAGCATTGACTCTTGGATCCCGCCTTTCGAGCATCGGTTGTTTACAGCAATGACTCTTGTCCCATTTCCCTATCATACCTGGTTTTAAAATTATGAATAGTATTTGCTTCCACAACCTGTTCCTGAAGTGCATTCCATTTCCCCACTACTCTCACGCTAAAAGAAAACTTCCTAACATCTCTGTGACTGTGTGTGTGTGTGTGTGTGTGTGTGTGTGTGTGTGTGTGTACTTAAATATACTTAGGCGTGAATTAGCATACTAAACGGGTTAAGGGACATGCCTATGTACTCAAAGGTTTACATCAAATTACTGTATCTTCTTCAGCAATGGATACCTGAGAGATAGGTGGATTCCTGTGATGAGTTCCTGGGACTATCTGTGAGGGGTTCCTGGGACTACCTGTGATGAGTTCCTGGGACTTCCTGTGATGGGTTCTTGGGACTACAAGACAACTAGCCAACTAGGTAAGCAGGTCTGGTGGCACTTAAGCTACCAGGTGTGTGACGTTGAGCCTACGAAGCTCTAGGTCAAGAGAGTAAACCCAACAGTGATGGCGTACTGGAGGGCTGACCAGAGGGCATGCAGTGTTAATGGCCCGAGATGTCCAGTGGTGGGATAATACCAGTGTTGGGGGCCGCCCCTGAGGACTTTGGGTGGGGAAGAAGCAGAGGAAAGGGAAAACCTTTTGTCTAGAGTAAACAAAGGCAGTGAGGCCAGGAGACTATACGTACGCTGGTCGGCCAGGATAACATAAATATGAGATACAATAATAACAGGTAGAACAAAGAACGCTGGGCGACACAGAACGCAAGATAACAGGTCTATGTGCCAGACGACAATATTGAACTTGTCAACTCTGAATGGGGAAATGGATTTGAAACAGTCACGACGAATTGGGATCTTAATTAAACCCTCCCCCCCCCAAAAAAAAAAAATCTGTTCTGAATAAGGTAATTAGAATAATAGCATTCATCTCTAGACGTGTTAGGAATATATAACTGTATTATGCAGCTGTATGCTGCCCCATGTTAGGCACTATTGACATTATACAGTTCACTTTGAATCCCCAGGATATGGAATGGTCTTTCCTTTCAGGCGGGGGGGGGGGGACGGGGGGGGTTAAGGCCTCCAACCCCCACCCCAGACAGTGGGTGGGTGGGGGGAGGGGAGAAGGAGAGGGGGAAGGGGGGGAGGGGGGGGGCGGCGTCCCAACTTTATAAATGAAAGTCTTCAACAAAACGGGGGGAAAATAGTGCACTAAAATTTTGGCTACCACCGCTCCAGCCATATTTTTTATGGAGAGGGTAAAACTCCACCGCCAGGCTTCTCCAACCTCCAAGACGCACCTACAACCTCCAAGACGCATCTACAACCTCCAAGACGCATCTACAACCTCCAAGACGCACCTACAACCTCCAAGACGCATCTACAACCTCCAAGACGCACATACAACCTCCAAGACGCACATACAACCTCCAAGACGCATCTACAACCTCCAAGACGCACCTACAACCTCCAAGACGCACATACAACCTCCAAGACGCATCTACAACCTCCAAGACGCACCTACAACCTCCAATACGCATCTACAACCTCCAAGACTCGCATACAACCTCCTAGATGCACATACAACCTCCAAGACGATCCTACAATCTCCAAGACGATCCTACAACCTCCAAGATGCTCTTACAACCTCCAAGACGCACCTACAACATCCAAGACGAACTTACAACCTCCAAGATGCACATACAACCTCCAAGACGATCTACAATCTCCAAGACGATCCTACAACCTCCAAGATGCTCTTACAACCTCCAAGACGCACCTACAACATCCAAGACGAACTTACAACCTCCAAGATGCACATACAACCTCCAAGACGATCCTACAACCTCCAAGATGCTCTTACAACCTCCAAGACGCACCTACAACATCCAAGACGAACTTACAACCTCCAAGATGCACATACAACCTCCAAGACGATCCTACAATCTCCAAGACGATCCTACAACCTCCAAGATGCTCTTACAACCTCCAAGACGCACCTACAACATCCAAGACGAACTTACAACCTCCAAGATGCACATACAACCTCCAAGACGATCCTACAATCTCCAAGACGATCCTACAACCTCCAAGACGCACCTACAACATCCAAGACGAACTTACAACCTCCAAGATGCACATACAACCTCCAAGACGATCCTACAACCTCCAAGATGCTCTTACAACCTCCAAGACGCACCTACAACATCCAAGACGAACTTACAACCTCCAAGATGCACATACAACCTCCAAGACGATCCTACAATCTCCAAGACGATCCTACAACCTCCAAGATGCTCTTACAACCTCCAAGACGCACCTACAACCTCCAAGACGCACATACAACCTCCAAGACGCACATTCAACCCTCCAAGACGCACATACAACCTCCAAGACGCACCTACAACCTCCAAGACGCACATTCAACCCTCCAAGACGCACATACAACCTCCAAGACGCACCTACAACCTCCAAGACGCACATTCAACCCTCCAAGACGCACATACAACCTCCAAGACGCACATACAACCTCCAAGACGCACATACAACCTCCAAGACGCACATACAACCTCCAAGACGCACATACAACCTCCAAGACGCACATACAACCTCCAAGACGCACATACAACCTCCAAGACGCACATACAACCTCCAAGACGCACATTCAACCCTCCAAAACGCACATACAACCTCCAAGACGCACATACAACCTCCAAGACGCACATACAACCTCCAAGACGCACATACAACCTCCAAGACGCACATACAACCTCCAAGACGCACATACAACCTCCAAGACGCACCTACAACCTCCAAGACTCACCTCCACCGTTCCATTTAAGCGGAGATCACAATAAAACCATAATGGGGTCTTTGTGATAGCTATTAAAAAGGACATATTCTCTGGGGCTCCTCCAGACAATATAACTAAATACCCCGTTCACTGTAGGACCAGCTCACCCAGCCAGCCAGCCAGTCAGCCAGTCAGCCAGCCAGCCACCCAGCCAGTCAGCCAGTCAGCCAGCCAGCTCAGCCAGCCAACCAGCTCATCCAGCCAGCCAGCTCAGCCAGCCAGCTCAGCCAGCCAGCTCAGCCAGCCAGCCAGCCAGCCAGCCAGCCAGCTCAGGCAACCAGCCAGCCAGCCAGCCAGCCAGTTCAGCCAGCCAGCCAGCTCAGCCAGCCAGCCAGCCAGCCAGCCAGCTCAGGCAGCCAGCCAGCCAGCTCAGCCAGCCAGCCAGCTCAGGCAGCCAGCCAGCCAGCCAGCCAGCCAGCCAGCCAGCCAGCCAGCTCAGCCAGCCAGCCCAGCCAGCCAGCCAGCTCAGGCAGCCAGCCAGCCAGCCAGCCAGCCAGCCAGCCAGCTCAGCCAGCCAGCTCAGCCAGCCAGCCAGCCAGCCAGCCAGCTCAGGCAGCCAGCCAGCCAGCTCAGGCAGCCAGCCAGCCAGCCAGCCAGCTCAGGCAGCCAGCCAGCCAGCCAGCCAGCCAGCCAGCCAGCCAGCTCAGGCAGCCAGCCAGCCAGCCAGCCAGCCAGCCAGCTCAGGCAGCCAGCCAGCCAGCCAGCCAGCCAGCTCAGGCAGCCACCTTTCAGGTTGCTGCTAAAATTTCAGGTTACCAGAAAATTTCACCAGGTTCTTGGACCCCGATATTCCGGCTCTTCTGCAACCTGCTCGTAAAGTTCATTTCAATTTCCTATTTTGTGTGTGTGTGTGTGTGTGTGTGTGTGTGTGTGTGTGTGTGTGTGTGTATTCACCTAGTTGTATTCACCTAGTTGTGTTTGCGGGGGTTGAGCTTTGTTCTTTCGGCCCGCCTCTCAACTAATTACTTTTTTTCCTCCACACCACACACACCCGAGAAAGCAGCCCGTGACAGCTGACTAACTCCCAGGTACCTATTTACTGCTAGGTAACAGGGGCATTCAGGGTGAAAGAAACTTTGCCCATTTGCTTCTGCCTGGTGCGGGAATCGAACCCGCACCACAGAATTACGAGTCCTGCGCGCTATCCACCAGGCTACCAGGCCCCGTGCGTGTGCGTGTGTGTTTTCGTGGTTGCGCACGAACGTGCGTACGTTCGCGAACACATTCATATACGCATACACAGTTTCTAGCTTACACACACACGCTTTCACATCATACACACAGTTCCAATGTACTTTCATAATTACACCCAATACCTTCACAAAATTGACCTTCCATTAAGCAATTAAAACCCCCCATAAAGAAAATCCAATATTAGAAAAAATATATATATAATATCACTCTCCCTCTTAAAGACACACTTACACCCCCGACTCTAAGCCACGGGCGAATATTACGCCAAATGCAACATTTTACCCTCGACGTCTCAATATCTGTCATTTCCTCCGGTACAAGTGTCGGGGAAAAACACACCGCTAATCTTCCCCGCAGTTTCCCTGTGATTGCCATGGCGGGTTGAGCTGTGATTGGCTGATAATATCCGTCATTTGTTTGGGAGGAGGATTGAGCGTCACCCGTCTAATATGAAACCCACATGGTATTTTTGAACCTCCGTCCACATGGTATTTTTGAACCTCCGTCCACATGGTATTTTCGCGTCATTTCCTGTTTTTTTTGTATGATTCCTTTAAACGTCTTTTCTCCTTGTCATCCTCCTCCTCACAATTGCGTTTGTTTTCACTTGTTTGATGGTTGAGGGGTGATGGTTGAGGGGTGATGGTTGAGGGGTGATGGTTGAGGGGTGATGGTTGAGGGGGTGATGGTTGAGGGGTGATGGTTGAGGGGTGATGGTTGAGGGGTGATGGTTGAGGGGTGATGGTTGAGGGGTGATGGTTGAGGGGGTGATGGTTGAGGGGTGATGGTTGAGGGGTGATGGTTGAGGGGTGATGGTTGAGGGGTGATGGTTGAGGGGTGATGGTGAGGGGGTGATGGTTGAGGGGTGATGGTTGAGGGGTGATGGTTGAGGGGTGATGGTTGAGGGAGTGATGGTTGAGGGGTGATGGTTGAGGGGTGATGGTTGAGGGGTGATGGTTGAGGGGTGATGGTGAGGGGGGGGGTGATGGTTGAGGGGTGATGGTTGAGGGGTGATGGTTGAGGGGTGATGGGTTGAGGGGTGATGGTTGAGGGGTGATGGTTGAGGGGTGATGGTTGAGGGGTGATGGTTGAGGGGTGATGGTTGAGGGGTGATGGTTGGTGATGGTTGAGGGGGTGATGGTTGAGGGGTGATGGTTGAGGGGTGATGGTTGAGGGGTGATGGTTGAGGGGTGATGGTTGAGGGGTGGGAGTGATGGTTGAGGGGGTGATGGTTGAGGGGTGATGGTTGAGGGGTGATGGTTGAGGGGATGAGGGGTGATGGTTGAGGGGGGTGATGGTTGAGGGGTGATGGTTGAGGGGGCTGGGTTGAGGGGTGATGGTTGAGGGGTGATGGTTGATGGGTTGAGGGTGATGGTTGAGGGGTGATGGTTGAGGGTGATGGTTGAGGGGTGATGGTTGAGGGGTGATGGTTGAGGGGTGATGGTTGAGGGGTGATGGTTGAGGGGTGATGGTTGAGGGGTGATGGTTGAGGGGTGATGGGGGTTGAGGGGTGATGGTTGAGGGGTGAGGGTGATGGTTGAGGGGTGATGGTTGATGGTTGAGGGGTGATGGTTGAGGGGTGATGGGGTTGAGGGGGTGAGGGGTGATGGTTGATGGTTGAGGGGTGATGGTTGAGGGGTGATGAGGGGGTGATGGTTGAGGGGTGATGGTTGAGGGGTGATGGGTTGAGGGGTGATGGTTGAGGGGTGATGGTTGAGGGGTGATGGTTGAGGGGTGATGGTTGAGGGGTGATGGTTGAGGGGGTGATGGTTGAGGGGTGATGGTTGAGGGGTGATGGTTGAGGGGGGTGATGGTTGAGGGGTGATGGTTGAGGGGTGATGGTTGAGGGGTGATGGTTGAGGGGTGATGGTTGAGGGGTGATGGTTGAGGGGTGATGGTTGAGGGGTGATGGTTGAGGGGTGATGGTTGAGGGGTGATGGTTGAGGGGGTGATGGTTGAGGGGGTGATGGTTGAGGGGTGATGGTTGAGGGGTGATGGTTGAGGGGTGATGGAGGGGTGATGGTTGAGGGGTGATGGTTGAGGGGTGATGGTTGAGGGGGTGATGGTTGAGGGGTGATGGTTGAGGGGTGATGGTTGAGGGGTGATGGTTGAGGGGTGATGGTTGAGGGGTGATGGTTGAGGGGTGATGGTTGAGGGGTGATGGTTGAGGGGTGATGGTTGAGGGGTGATGGTTGAGGGGTGATGGTTGAGGGGTGATGGTTGAGGGGGTGATGGTTGAGGGGTGATGGTTGAGGGGTGATGGTTGAGGGGTGATGGTTGAGGGGGGTTGAGGGTGATGGTTGAGGGGTGATGGTTGAGGGGTGATGGTTGAGGGGTGATGGTTGAGGGGTGATGGTTGAGGGGTGATGGTTGAGGGGTGATGGTTGAGGGGGTGATGGTTGAGGGGTGATGGTTGAGGGGTGATGGTTGAGGGGTGATGGTTGAGGGGTGATGGTTGAGGGGTGATGGTTGAGGGGTGATGGTTGAGGGGGGTGATGGTTGAGGGGTGATGGTTGAGGGGGGTGATGGTTGAGGGGTGATGGTTGAGGGGTGATGGTTGAGGGGTGATGGTTGAGGGGTGATGGTTGAGGGGGTGATGGTTGAGGGGTGATGGTTGAGGGGTGATGGTTGAGGGGTGATGGTTGAGGGGTGATGGTTGAGGGGATGGTTGAGGGGGTGATGGTTGAGGGGTGGTGATGGTTGAGGGGGTGATGGTTGAGGGGTGATGGTTGAGGGGTGATGGTTGAGGGGTGATGGTTGATGGGTTGAGGGGTGATGGTTGAGGGGTGATGGTTGAGGGGTGATGGTTGAGGGGTGATGGTTGAGGGGTGATGGTTGAGGGGTGATGGTTGAGGGGGTTGATGGTTGAGGGGTGATGGTTGAGGGGGTGATGGTTGAGGGGGTGATGGTTGAGGGGTGATGGTTGAGGGGGTGATGGTTGAGGGGGTGATGGTTGAGGGGTGATGGGTTGAGGGGTGATGGTTGAGGGGTGATGGTTGAGGGGTGATGGTTGAGGGGTGATGGTTGAGGGGTGATGGTTGAGGGGGTGATGGTTGAGGGGTGATGGTTGATGGGTGATGGTTGAGGGGTGATGGTTGAGGGGGTGATGGTTGAGGGGTGATGGTTGAGGGGTGATGGTTGAGGGGGTGGGTTGAGGGGTGATGGTTGAGGGGTGATGGTTGAGGGGATGGTGATGGGTTGAGGGGTGATGGTTGAGGGGGTGATGGTTGAGGGGTGATGGTTGAGGGGTGATGGTTGAGGGGGTGATGGTTGAGGGGTGATGGTTGAGGGTGATGGTTGAGGGGTGAGGGTGATGGTTGAGGGTGATGGTTGAGGGGGTGATGGTTGAGGGGGTGATGGTTGAGGGGGATGATGGTTGAGGGGGTGATGGTTGAGGGGGATGGTTGATGGTTGAGGGGGTGATGGTTGAGGGGTGATGGTTGAGGGGTGATGGTTGAGGGGGTGATGGTTGAGGGGTGATGGTTGAGGGGGATGGGTTGAGGGTGATGGTTGAGGGTGATGGTTGAGGGGGTGATGGTTGAGGGGTGATGGTTGAGGGGGTGATGGTTGAGGGGGATGGTTGAGGGGTGATGGTTGAGGGGTGATGGTTGAGGGGTGATGGTTGAGGGTGATGGGAGGGGATGGTTGAGGGGTGATGGTTGAGGGGTGATGGTTGAGGGGTGATGGTTGAGGGGGGATGGTTGAGGGGGTGATGGTTGAGGGGTGATGGTTGAGGGGTGATGGTTGAGGGGTGATGGTTGAGGGGTGATGGTTGAGGGGTGATGGTTGAGGGTGATGGTTGAGGGTGAT